GTCTATCAAATCTCGTCTGAATGACCTAAAATTTTGCACACACATCCCAAATGACACAACGAAGCTACTGTCACTCTAAGAATTCCATTCCGACCCCTATATCAAAATCTCACCTATCAACCGAAACCGCCAAAATATCAACTTCGCCAATTTAAGCCTAAATCTTCTCTACAACTCCAAAACCCATTCCGATCGCGCTCCTAAGTCACAAATCACCTCTCGAAGCTAACCGAACCATCAGAACTCACTTCCAAGTCTTCTAATACATAAGTCAACATCTGGTTGACTTTTCCAACTTAAGCCTTCTTAAAAGAGACTAAGTGTCTCATTTCTTACCAAATCCTCTCCAAACTCGAACTAATCAATCTGATCAAATAAAATACGGATAACGAAGCGTAAAGAAGCTAAAATAGGGGAAAACGGAGCGGTAACTTATGAGACGGCTGGCCGGATCGTCACAATAATAACAAACCAAATGATTTCCCACAAGTGAGGTCTGAGGAGGGTAAGATGTATGCAACTTTATCTCTATTTTGGGAGAGTAGAAAGGATGTTTTCGATAGACCCTCGGCTGGAGAAAGGATAAAAGAGGGAGTAATGGCAATAAGTAGGAACAACAACAAGATAAAAATAAGACCGAAGCCCAAAAAGCAGTTAAATTCTAAGTAATAATAACAATCTATGAATAAAGGATATCACACTAAAGCCAAAGCTAGTGAACTGAGTAAGACAAAGGAAAACGCTCGACTACCTACTAATTTTCTATAATCTTCGACCTATATACCCTCCTGTCAAGGGTCATGTCTTCAGTCAGCTCTAACTGCGTCATGTCCCGTTTAATCACCTCTCCCCAAGACTTCTTAGGCCTATCCCTACCCCTTGTGATACCCATCAAGGCTAACTTCTCGCACCTTCTAACTAGGAGTTTCTATGATTCTCCTCTTAACATGCCCGAACCATCTCAACCTCTGTGTTCCAAAACTTTCATATTTAATTTTTTTGGTAATAAACCAACGTGAGTGAAAATTGAAAATGAAAAAACAAAAGTTATATCTACAAACAATATTTTAGGTTGAAATTGAATACCAAAATTGACACTAGTATATATATCAAATTTAATACCGGCCCCCGACTTCCATTTTTCTATTTTTTACACTTCTGTTTGATATTTTACCCCTGTTTAAAATATATTCATATTTAAAATTGTGCTGACATGGATAACAATGCTCCTACAAATTTAGTGGGCGTTTGGACATAAGAATGGTAAAATTTCAAAGAAAGTGAAAAAAAATTTCAAGCGAAAATGGTATTTAAATTAGAGTTATGTTTGGACATGGATATAATTTTGGGTTGTTTTTGAAATTTTATGAGTAATCCGAGTGAAAATTTTGAAATATAGCTTTTTGGATTTTTTCAAATTTTCGAAAAATTTCAAAATGTATCTTCAATTGAAAATTAAAAATTTTATAAACAAATACTGATTTTGAAAAAAAAAAAAATATTTTTCGAAAAAAGAGGAAAAAATTTCTTATGTCCAAACGGGCTCTTAGAATGGATGGAAAAAAAAATTACAAGGGAGTTTTCTGTAATTAGAACAAATTCTGTGTAGGTATACGTAAATTTAAACATGATAATAATAATTTCTTTTCCGAGCCGAAGAAGGAACGAACAGACTCATATATCACCCCCCTCCCCCCCTCCC